TGCCGAACACCTGGCAGTGGGTTGGGGTTTTGCTGAGAGCTGCTGAGTGTGCTCGGTGGTTTCAAAAGAGGGATTTCAGGGGCTCTGCTCCTTAATATCTGCTTTTTTTTTTTTTTTTTTTTTTTTTTTTTTTTTTTTTATTTTGAACGCCGTGGTCTAAATCAAGATATCTACTCGTCTCCTGGTGCCTGCTCTGCCTGGTTTGCATGGACCAAGCGGCTTTCTGGTAGGAAAGGGCTTGGCTGGGGAGAATGAGATGAGGAGTGGGGGTGAATGTGGTAATGGGCCAGCACCAGCCAGGGGCATTTGCCTTTTTGTTTTTCCTTGGAGCTTAGGATGTGTGTGTTGATATTCAGATGGACTGGGGAAGGCTTGACTTGGTGTATCTTGTTTGGAGCCACCCCAGGAGAAGGCGCAGCAACTCTTGGAGCTGCTTCTCTAAAGGGTTTTTCATTGCGGAGCTCACAAATGCCCCCAGACTGCGGGCAGAAGTTCAGGGGGGAGAAGCTCATGTTTTCACATTTAAGTTGGCCGTGCTGGAGCTCCCAAATGCCCACTGTGGGACCTGAGGCATGTCTGGCTTTGCTTTTCAGCCTATTCAGCTTTTTCGCTCTTCCCGTGTGCATTTACTCCTGCTAAAACGCAGAGTGGATTGAGTTGTAGAGCACTGGGTTAATGTCATACGCTTATAAAATGCTGTTAGATGGCTAATGGCATGGTTTTATCTGATGTCATCAGCTGTCTCTGGCACCTGATTTATGCCGATCAAATGCTGCTGTGGATGTGGAGCGAGTGTAAAGCGTGCCTTGCGGGGCCTTAATATAGCGACGTAACCTCCCAACAATACAACAAGAAACAGGTTTATATAAAACCGATATTGATTTGTACCAAGGATCAATCCCAGTTCATAACTTTCACTGTGCCAGCGTGGCTCAGTATCTCCTCGAGAGTTTTTTTTATCTCCCTGTACAGACATTTAATATTAAGGCTGCACATACGGAGGTGTCACTTCATAAATCCGTGTGTTGTGTTGGCTGGGTTGTTGTAAAAGGCTCAGACACTGAGAACCGTGGGAGAACGGAGTAATCCCAAAGGGAAAGCCAGGCCTTGGGGGTTGCTGCGTGTCCCTCCCCAAGCTCGTGTCCAAACTGCGGCACTGCTGGGCCCGTTTGTAACATCCATCAGAGCATCCTCAAGGATGCTGTTGTGTATCTGCGTGCGTTAGGGATGGCAGTGCTATACAGGGTAATTTGGCAGCTAGTCATGAAGCTTCCTCCTGCCCAGGCCACCTTCCTCTTCCTCCAGTAGTACCTCCTGGGTTACCTCTTGAGGTGTTACAGGGAGGTTAATCCTTTTCTGGCTTTGGCTTTGAAACACCAGCTTGGGGACAGGCTTTTGCAGCCTTTTGCAGGGCGGCTGGTCCTCCAGCCCCTTGGCTGCAGCGAACGCGAGGCAGCGCAGCTCAGCCGGACGTGCCCTGGAAGGAGTTAACTCGTGCTTGAAAATCCCAAGGCCCCGAGCACGATGTGAGAGCAAGCGACAAACCCAAGCCCAGCAGTTTTTTAAAGGGCAAACAAAATGTTCCTTTTTATGGCGAGGCGCCTGGTGCAAAGTGCAGGCAGAGCAGGGCGGCAGATCCCGGTGTGGCTTTAGGGGAAAGCTCCCAAAAGCACACTTCATTCGAATTTAATAGGATGGTTACTGTAAGTTTATATAAATGCCAGTTAAATATTAACGGCATCTTTAGCGGGGATTAATGGGGTCTCCTGTGTTGTTTTTAAACACCATGAAGAGAACACTGGTAGTCACTGCCTGCCTTCAGTGGAAGGGACTGCGGGCTGAGTGCCCATGAGGATGCTTCTTGCATTCAGAAAACTGGCCTAGAAACGGCCCCGAATGGGCAATTTCTCCAGCTCGGCACAGGAATGCCTTTGGGGCGAGAAGGGCTCAAAATGGCTCCAGCCAAGTAAGGCTCTCAATCATTGTTTCTTAATTGGGGCCACCATTAACGAGGGGGATAAATGAGTCAGCGTGGTGAGCGGAGCGGGGAGCCCACGTCCTTTGTGTCTGCGGTGAATGGTTGGAGACATTGAGGGCTCAGTAGTTATTCAGGAAAAGCTCCCCCGCACTCGTGTGTCATTCACCTGACTAATGCCAAGAAAATTAAGCACTTTTTTGCAACTCTGGGCTTATTGGAGAATAATGTGGTATGCGATAGCACGAATGGGGTTACGAAATCGTGTTTTCATTTTGAAGGAACAAGAATGGTTCGAGCATAAATTATGTTTCTGATCATATTTGGCAATTTCAGATTAAAAATAAATTTCCAATTTGGGGTTATAGATTGTCATCTATCAGCTTTGTGAAAAGGAAAAAAGGAATTAAAAGAAAAATCTGGCTGTACAAATTGCCTTGCTATGACCTACTTATTGAAAGTAATTTTTTTTTTTTTTTTCAAGAATGGATTCTTTTCGTGTGGGGAGCTGTAGTAGTGTACATATATAGGTTTTTCAGGCAGGTATATATGCACAGGTTGTATGGGAGGATCTATCAACCATCCCTGCAAGCAGCTACATGAAAAAGAGATGCTGGAATTGTGCTAGATTATTTCTGAGAAAGCTGAAAAAAAAAACCCAACCCCGCAGCAATCATGTTGTTTTATTTGATGGAGAAACCTTAACTGCAATTTCACATCTGGTTATCAGCCTTCAGGACCACTCAAATCTGCAGATTAGATGCTTAGGCTTGGTTTTGCTCAAAAAGCCTGCAATTGGGGCAGCGTTTGCTGGAAGGCTCCCAGGCCTTGCAGAAGGAGCCGGGGTCCCTTGCAGCAGCCTGGGGGAAGCGCTGGCCCTGGCCGTATGCCACAGTTCTTCCCGGGGGCATTTTGGGGGATAGATTTGCTCTCTGCTCTGCCTGCATGACCTCCCTCCCCAGCAATTGCTTCTCGGATTGTTCCGATAGAGATGCTCCTCTGCAAAGCAAACCCAGGGGTTCTTGCCCCTTCTAACCCCTTCCCTGACCGTGCTTTCAGCATCCTCCCTGACAGCTGCCATCTCCTCAGGGGAAACCCTTCCTCTGCCTCCTTCCTTGCTCCTCTTCCAAGCTCAGTCCAGAGCGATGCCCACGCTGCTTGTGCTACCCTGTTTGTGGTCGCTGCCAGGAGAGGGGGGCCTTTAGCCTTGCTGGAAAGGAGGAGGTTGAGGAGATAGATACGGAGATAAACATACACCTAGAGTGTGCCTGTGCTTTGCTCATTCTGTTTGTCTCCTGCCTGTTGCTTGCAGTGGAGAGAAATAAATTAAAAAAAAAAAAAAAAAAAAAAAAAAAAAAAAAAAAAAAAAAAAAAAAAAAAAAAAAAGACGACTTTTATCTAAGTGGGAAGAAGCTGAAAGCAAGGCTCTGCGTTTTGTGCTCGGATAGGTGCTGCTTTGCAAGTGGCTTAGCCCGCGCACGGCAGACTCTTCTTCTGCTGTGGTCAAAAACCAGCGAAGGAAAAAAAGACTCTCTCATCCCCAGAGGAGGCTACAAAGCTCTCTTTCTCTGGCTGCTGAACCTTCACAGCTGGACTCAGTTGCTGGCTCCTCTGCTGCTGGAGCAACTGAATTATTTAAAGGAACCTTGATTTGGTTTGCTCTTTGCTGTTTTCATGCGTTGTGTTTATTGTCTATAGATATTTTTACAGTCTGAAGCAATTACAGCTGTCAGAAAAGAGACAGGCTGTGACAGGCTGATTTATATGTACATTGTACATATGCAAGAGAGGGAGAGCTGGAGAAAGGGAGATAGACCAGGGATTCAGCTGGGCTTTAGGATGCAGCAGCCGGTGATTTAAATTCTTTGGGATTTTCAAGCAATGTTGATGATGTCCTAACAGTGGGCCAAATCCAGCCCTTACAAGGGCTGAAGCTGCTCGGCGGGTTGTATTCTGCCCCAACCTCGCACGCTTTCAGTGCAGGCAGGTGCTTTCTCTCGTGATTTAAGATGCTTCTGGCAATCTGGGCCTGAACGCTGTGTTAAAAGGTTAACTGGCTGTAGTTATTGGAATCCCATTGGTTTTGCTGACACAGGAGATGGTCTCTGCCCATCCAAAGGAGCGGCCTCATGACGAGAGCAAGCCCGTGCGTGATGAGAGTGGCGATGGCACGTGAGGGTGTCCCCCAGCAGCAAGTAGGTAGCACGGCCAGGCCCTCGTCCTCCCAGGGGTGCTTGGATGGCGCAGCAATCAGCAAAAGCAGTGGGTTTTTATTCTTCACAGACTCGTGCGCCCCAGTGCAACGCTGTAACCCCAGACAAGGAGTTTCACCCTACTGCTGATGGTCTTTTTTGCAGCGAGGTTTTGGGGTCCCCTCCTGGGTAATTTGTGGGCACAAAGGATGTGCTGAAGGCAGGTGCTTACCCCCTGCTGCCAGGCTGGCCAGGAGCAACAGAGTGAGCTGTGGAGATTAAACTCCTTCTGCCAAGAGCTAAGGAAAGCTGCTGTCCCCTCTGGGGGAACGTAGGACTTGAGGCAGCACGTCCCACCAGCGCTAAATTCAAGGAGTGGAGAGCCTTCAGAAGAGGAAAAAGTAGAGAGACTTGCAAAGCAATCCCCTTCTCATATGACCTATCAGCACACACAATAATAATAAAGCTTTATTTGATTGAGTGTTTCCTCTGCCTGGCACAGCTCATAATGTTTTAGAGATTAAATAGCACAGTTAGTGAATTAAGCAGTAGTTTACAGGGGATTCGGAGACTCCAGGGATTAGTAACAGGCTATGGATCCTTTCACATCTAGGTCACCAGTTTGAATCCAGCTCAGGTTGGCAGCGATTTCACACAAGAAAAAAAAAAAAAAAAAATGGTGCTGTGTAATAGCTGCCGAGCACACGGTGGGGAATGGAGGGAGGGAGGACTTTTGGATAAGGTCCCGTGTCGCAGAGAAGTCATTGGGGACAGCGGGTGGAGGAGGCCTGGTTTCCCCTTATGCTGGGCTGCTGCAGGTTTGGGGGGGGAGCTTCCAGGGGCGCAGCGCCCCGAAAGCTGTGGCTCAGCTGCTGGCTCTGCTGTTGCTCGGTGGCTCCAGGACTTTGTTGCTCTGAGGATGGCTCCCTGGCACCTTTTACCAGCATGAAACTGTGCCTGGAAATATTAATGTGTTTAGCCGCTAGCGGAGGGAAGGAGGAATTACTAGGCATAAGCAAATGCGATAGTTGTTAAATTATGAGCTGATAAAAAGTATGAGGGGACCGTGCTTGCAGCTGGGGAGGAATTTGCCACTTAAGTTCATGCGGAGGACCAGGAGGGCACACTCCTGCCTCTCCTCATGCCCACCTGCCTGACTTTGGTGAAGGGGGGGAAAACTGTCCCGTGCCTCAGTTTCCCCTCATGCGTGTAGTGACTTTGCCATCTGGGGAGAGGATGGCACAGAGGTAGAGGAGGGCAAATGTCAGAGGTAGTCCGGTGCTGGCTGCTGGGTGCAGGTAAGCACGCTGGGGAGGCGAGGGGAAGGTGATGGGGTGTGTGTGGGGGGGTGTCCTGACATCCCGTCAGAGATGGTCGGAGCCACCCAGGAGCATGGCACGGCAGGGGTTAAAGGCTGGCGTGTGAGGTGCTTGCCACCGCCCCGCTCCCCGCCTGCCCGGGTGCTGGGGGCTGGGTGCTGGGTGCTGGGGGGGG